GGGGGGAAAGGGCCCAACTGTTTTTATGTTTCCAAACTAGAAACACAAAGCTCTGGATTGAAAACAATGACCTTGTGACCACTTCTGTCTCCCTCTTTCATTGTGGTAGAGTAGTCCGGTATTTAATAAGCCAAACATGTTCCATGGGGATACCAATGCCAGTACCCTAAAAAAAAAAAAAAAAAAAAACAAAAAAAAAAAACCCTACTTTCACTGCAGCGATTAAATGTAAAGTGCTAGGTGACCACAGCACTTTCCACGATTGGGATTTATAGTTCTACAGTCTAGAAGTCAAGTAGGACCTCATAGTGAAAGGCCTTGGCTTTAGTGTGGCTCACAGACTGCACTGCCATCCGAGGTACCACGCTCTTTAGAAGCGAGCTCCTAAAAAAAAAAAAAGAAGAGTGCTCCTGAAGACATCAAAGGCTACCTCTCCCCAACATTACCCGTGTCCTTCACTTTGCTGACCTAAGCAGAATTTGCTATTTCAAAGCCACATACATGAGGCTGAGTGAGATTCCCCTCCGACCCCCAGAGCCATGGGTGCTGACCCTAATCTAAATGTGGTAATGAGTTGGACGGGTTGGATATTCTTCAGTGTTGGCGAGTTACATCACTTATAGTAAACAGTCATGGCAACAATCAAGCTTAAAACAGATCATGCATGTTGAGAATAATGTATTTAGGATTTTAAGGGTTTTTATTAACAAAGAAGGGAAACACATTGTTGGAGTGGCCTAGCAAGCCGATCGTGTCAGCTTTGTGGGAGAAATTGAAGAACTTCTTGAGAGCCACAGAGAAATACTAATAAGAAGGATGAGGAACTGATAAAATCATCCCAGAAGACAAAGATATGAGAAACAGGAAGGGAAGACCAGATCGTATCTTCGCAAATATGTTAAAATTTCTGCAAAAATGCTGAAATACCTGATTTAATCCCCACCCCTTTTTAAGTAGACTCCACATCCAGCGCGGAGCTGGAGCTTGAACTGACAACTCTGAGATCAAGACCTAAGCTGAAATCAAGAGTTGGATGCTTAACTGACTGAGCCACCCAGGCACCCATGATTGACTTAATTTCTGAATAAAATCTCTCTGTGGAGAGAAACCAGAAAATTAAATGTGGTTAACACTGTATCCTTATAACTCAGCAGTTCAGTGTATAAGTATGCTCCCAACAAAAATGCGTACCTAGGTCCACTAAAAGACTTGTATAACACTGTATGTACATAGGAGCTTTTCCTATAACAGCTAACAACCAAAAACAACTCAAATGGCCATCAACAGTAGAATAAATTGTGGTATGGCCATACAACAGAGTAATGTAAAGCAATGAAAATAATGAGCTACCCTTTCATGCAACAAGATAGATGACTCACCGTCCTAATGCTGAGAAAAATAAGTCAGGCACAAAAGAATATATGCTCTATGGTATTTTATGAAATTGAACAGGCAAAGCTAATCTATACTAACAGGTCATATAAGAGTTCCCTTTAAGGATGTAGTGTCAGGGAAAGGGCAAGAAGGAGCCTCTGGGATGCTAGAAATGTTCTGGATCTTTTTGGTGAGGATCACACAGCAAATGTAAAAATTCATTGAACAATTTAAGATGAATTTACTTTATAGTTTCTACATCTCAAATAAAAAATAATAAAACTTCTTGTAGCATTATGTAACATTTGAGCGAGTATCAACAAGTGTTTGAGCAGTTCAAGATTCAGTGGTAACAACTGGTGAATACCATGTTTTAAGCAGCCAGCCCCTGATCAGGGACACTTCCCAACCTCGAACTAGAGTCGGCCATGGCTGAAGCTTTCCCTTTGTGCCCTAAGCCTTCATCCACCACAGTCATGATGTCCTTTTTGTTATTGTCACACTGACAAGAATATCCAGGTTGGGTGGATGACAGGTTTTAAGGTTCACATCCTCCTTTTGATACGTTTTCTTCGTCTTCAGTTAAAATTATGAAATTTTATTCATGCACCATTGTATGATACTCCTGCTACTGTATTTTACACAAAACCAACATCTGCTGTATCTGATAGGTTCAGTAAGGTATTTTCAAGGGTAATTTTGAGACATGGCTGTCACCTTATCTCTCCCAACTCTCTATCTTTGCCCTCCTGTTTTACATAGCATAGCATCTGACATACCGAAACTGCCAGTTCAGCCTAGACTCCCACCTTCCACAACCCACATGAACTCTCCCATCAAAGTTGCCAATGACCGAAAAAATCTCATTAAGTAGTCAAACCTGAATTTTCTGCTCACTGTGTCCTCCTTAACCCTCTTCTCACTCTACATGCTCTCTCTGGGGCCCCTCTCTGATTCTCATAGTTCAGCTTCTGACCAAAGAATGTCACACCTCCCAAATTTACTTCTCCAGCCCAGGCCCCTTACTACCCCTCCAGACCTGCAATTTTCATGTGTGTGCCGGATGGTTCCATCTGGTTGTTGCTCAGACACCTCAAAAACACGTCGTAAAGTGAATTCACATCCCTCCCCCACTCCCCTGCCCCTTTCCAATGGCTTGTCTTTCTGTCATCTCTATCATCATTAGTGGTACCCCCTTCCAACAGTCTTCCAGGCTAAACCTTTTCTCTCACCTCAGCATCTAATCAGCCACCCTAACTTGCAATTTCATAAGTGTTTCTTGAATTTTTTTCTTCCTTATTTCTACTGCCTCATTTCAGGCTCTTGACACTCGTCACCCAGGTGGCTGTAACCAGTCTCGTTGCTTCTAGTTCTATTTCCCCCGAAACCTCCTTTATGTTGCTGTGCCAGGGTGGTTTTTCAATTTTTTTTTTTTTAAGTTATCTCTACACCCAGCATGGAGCTCGAACTCATGACCCCAAGATCAAGTGTTGCATGCTCTACCGACTGAGCCAGCTGGGTCCCCTCATGGTGGTTTTTCTAAAATGACTATCTGTCCATGTTTCTCTCCTGTTTCCTTCATATGTGTCTCCATTACTGGCCTGTCCTACAGGAGAACATTTACATTCCTTAACTTGGCCAATAAGGCCACTGTCATTTGGCACTGACTTCTGTAGGCTTGTCTCTCATGGTTTCCTTCTAGCTGCAAGAACACTGAAGTCTTCAAACTTCCCCAAACCCATCTCCTGCTTCTGGCTTTTTTCATGCTGACTTCTCGGTCTGGAATGATTTCTCCATGTAGCAACCCTAACCCAACCCCCATCCTGCAGAACTACCTCCTGGGCCCATTCTTAGTCATTCTTTAAGATTCAGCCCAGTGTAACACTCCAGGACACCTGCTTAACTGCTTGATCCCTGGTTAGGAGTCCCATCCTTTTGACTCCCATAAGACTTTCTTTATTCCTCCATAATTTCATCTACTACATGATAAACTGTTTTATTTTGTTTTTATTTATTTGACAAAGAGAGAGATCACAAGTAGGCATAGAGTCAAGCAGGGAGGGCAGGGTTGAGGGGGGTGGAGCAGGTTCCCCGCTGAGCAGAGAGCCCGATGCGATGCGGGGCTTGATCCCAGGACCCTTGGATCATGCCCAGAGCCAAAGGCAGAGGCCCAACCCCCTGAGCCACCCAAGCACCCCAATAAACTGTTTTATAAATGTCTTGTTACCTCCTTGGGGATTCACAGTTGCATCTTCCGTGCTTAGCATAGATGATTAAATTTGAACTCGAACCTGCTCTGAGTTCACATGTATATAACCTCACCAAATCCTCACTATGGCTTATGCAGTAGATACCAACAGTATCTCCATTTTACAGAGGAAGAAACAGGTATTGGGGAAATTCAGTGGTTTGCTCAAGGTCACACGCATACTGGCCTTCAGGTATTCACACCCAGTTAGCTTGGCTCCACATTTGGCATCCTTCATCACTATATTACATTGCCCCCCCCCCTTTTTTTTAGATTTTATTTATTTTGCAGAGAGAGAGAGTACAAGCAGGGGGAACAGCAGAGGGAGAGGGGGAAGCAGGCTCCCACTGAGCAGGGAGCCCGACTCAGGCCTCGATCCCAAGACTCTGGGAGCATGACCTGAGCCGAAGGCAGATGCTTAATGACTGAGACCCCAGGTGCCCCTACATTGCATTTATATAGAGTGGACACCTAGTAAATGTTAACAATAATAGTTATGCTCAGTTATTGTATAATAGGTACCAGACTCCGCTAAGTGCTTTACCTAGATTATTTCAGCTCCACAACAATCCTATGAGGTAAGTACCATCATATTTCCATTTTACATAAGAGAAAACGGATTTGGGGCACCTGGGTGGCTCAGTGGGTTGTCTGACTCTTGATTTTTGGCTCAGGTCATCGTCTCAGGGTCCTAGGATGGAGACTCTGGAGGCCAGGGGTGGGGGGGGGGCAGTGTCTGCTCAGCAGGGAATCTGCTGGAGATTCTCTCCCTCACTCTCTGACTCTCCACCCCTAAAATAAATAAATAACTCTTTTTTTTTTAAGATTTTATTTATTTATTTGACAGAGATCACAGGTAGGCAGAGAGGCAGGCAGAGGAAGAAAGAGAAGGAAGCAGGCTCCCCGCTGAGCAGAGAGCCGGATGCAGGGCTCCATCCCAGGACCCTGGGACCATGACCTGAGCGGAAGGCAGAGGCTTTAACCCACTGAGCCACCCAGGCGCCCCAATAAATAAATAACTCTTAACAGAAAGAGAGAAAACAGGTTTAAGAGAAGTTTGTTGAAATCTCCCCCAAGGTCATAGAGCTAATTAGTAACATTGCTTCCTCACAACCAGAGTCTTAACCATTATACTCCGCCATATGAGACCAACAGTTTGGGAACGGACTGACATCCAAGATGAAGACTAGAACAGCACCGAGCCCTAGGACACCTACCTCTGAAAACAGAGTTCAGAACCTCAGGCATAGAACAGACCGACTCACAAGTGGGACAGAAAGAGACCAGTCCAGAACCAGTGACCCACAATCAAAGGGACACAGAAACAGATTTCAGCACACTGAAAGCCCCTCCTTGACCCCAAGCCCTTCCTCTCTAGGAGCTCAGGAGTCGGTTGCTCAAGCGGCTCAAAGGTCTTGATGATGGAGAACACACTTCCGGGGATCCCAAAGCGGTAAAGAGTTCACTGTGAGCCTCAACAACCAGGTGCAGACTCCTTTGCGGCCGAGAAGGGTTAGCCAGAGGGGAGGGCCTCCACGCGGGGGTGGGACCTCGGGGCGGGGTCCACAGGTTAACCGCCCGGTATTGGCTTTAGGGTGTCGGGTCCTTGGGGCGGGGCGCGCCCTCCACAGCTGCTGTCCGACTGAGGTGTTAACCGCCGGCGAGCTACACCCCGTGGGGGCGTGGCCGCGGGGCGGGGCGGGGCGCGACTTGGGGCGGCGACGAGAGGGTTAATTGCCCCAGTGCGGTGGCCGTGGGGGCGGGGCATGGGGGCGGGGCGAGACCGGGGGAGGTGCTGGAGGCGGAAGCTGCCGGCAGTCTGCGCCCAGCGCGATTCGGCCACCTTTGGCTAAGTCGCTATTGAGGCCCGGTGACCTCCGGGCCTGGGAAGCCAAGCGAGGTTCGGGGGCGGTGACTGGGCACGGGATGGGGAAAAGAGACGGCCCTGGGGAGGTCCAAAGGGGGCGAACTCGGGAGAGTCTGGGGAGACCGAGACAGATGGGCGAGGGCAAGGTGATGGGCCAAGGGGGGGGGGGAAGTGGTGGGCAAACATGCGTGAAAGGATGTGGAGCCTGGGCGAGGAGCCCCCGCCGGGATACCGCACTTGAAACCCTCATTTCTCCCAACTCCTCTCTAGATCAATCCGGTGCGGGAGCTCAACTTTCAGAAGAGAGGCGCGCCAGGAAGACTCGGGGATTCCTTCAGCTCCTCACCTTCATGGGCCAGACGGCCCTGGCAGGGGGCAGCAGCAGCACCCCCACCCCACAGACCCTGTACCCTGACCTCTCTTGTCCCGAGGGCTTGGAGGAGCTGCTGTCTGCTCCCCGTCCTGATCTGGGAGCCCAACAGCGCCACGGATGGAATCCCAAGGACTGCTCAGAGAACATCGAGGTCAAGGAAGGGGGGTTATGCTTTGAGCGACGGCCCGTGGCCCAGAGCACTGATGGGGCCCGGGGTAAGAAAGGCTACTCGAGGGGCCTGCACGCCTGGGAGATCAGCTGGCCCCGGGAACAGAGGGGTACCCACGCCGTGGTGGGCGTGGCCACGGCCCTCGCCCCGCTGCAGGCTGACCACTATGCGGCGCTGCTGGGCAGCAACAGCGAGTCGTGGGGCTGGGACATTGGGCGGGGGAAGCTCTATCATCAGAGCAAGGGGCCCGGGGCCCCCCAGTATCCAGCCAGACCTCACGGTGAGCAGCTGGAGGTGCCGGAGAGGCTGCTGGTGGTTCTGGACATGGAAGAGGGAACTCTGGGCTACGCTATTGGGGGCACCTACCTGGGGCCAGCCTTCCGCGGACTGAAGGGCAGGACCCTGTATCCTGCAGTAAGCGCTGTCTGGGGCCAGTGCCAGGTCCGCATCAGCTACCTGGGCGGAAGGAGAGGTGAGCCCTGGGGCAGGTGTGGGGAGACTGTTCTGTTACTGGTGGCTGTGGTATGGGATGGCAGTTCGCTGCACACCTTGTAAGAGCAGAGGGAATGGGCCTTCATCTGACCTGCCTCCTACTTCTATTCAGTGTGGGGAATGGCAAAAGGGCTTCACGGCTGTTACTTAACTGTATCCCAGCAGCAGTAGAGATGAAAGTGAGGCTCGGGAAAGCCATTTGCTGCTAGTGGTGAGTGCTCAGAACAGAGTGAGGTGCCCCAGGGCTTTCCAGCAGATAACAAGCTCCTGAAGCAAGAGGTGCATAGAGTTAAATGGATGCTGGACTAGCTGTAGGAAGAGGATGGACAGATCTCCTGGGATCTGACCTGTCTGTGCTATTTCCTTCTAAGGGGCCTTTGAGGCCCTGGGCAGCTAGAGGGAGAGCAGGAAAGGAGGCAGGGTGTTCGTGTGGGGCCTCCTCTAGAAAGGATGGGGCCCCCAGCCTCAGGGCAGATGGAACTTCACCCTGCTCTGCAGTTGTGTGCTCAGCAGAGGGTGGGTACCTCTCCCCGGTGGAGAATTATTCGAGAGTGGAGGGGTGCCATCCTTCCTCTCACCTCATTATTCTCGGCTCCAAGGCTCTATGGAATCCAAGCCTGGATGAGCTACACTCTGGTCCAAGCTGCCTTGGCCTGTTGCTTTGGGGGCAGGGGGGAGCTTAGCTACAGCTTCACCCTCATGCATGAGATCAGTGATGCCTACCACCGCAAGAGCAGGTGCGGAAATTTGGGGTGCCTTAGAGCCTCCTCTCAACCAAGACTCCAAGCAGGAAAGCGGAAGGGAATTTGGGCAGGACCCTGTAGTGTGAGGTCTGGCTGGTGGCTACATCCGAACTTACCTTCCCCTCCTTCTCTCCCCCAGTGGAGCCACACTCCCTGCTGCACCTGAGCCGCCTGTGTGTGCGTCACGCCCTGGGGGATACCCGGCTTGGCCAGGTATCTGCTCTCCCCTTGCCCCCTGCCATGAAGCGCTACCTGCTCTACCAGTGACTTCCTGGACACCACAGATGGGACAGCACAGATGGCGCTGGGGCCTTGAGGCCACCCCTCCCCTGGGGGGTGGGGCAGCAGCGCTGCTGGCCTAGACCAGCTGCTTTCAAGCCAATAGGCTGGGGGGAGGTGAGGCTGGGCCCCTACCCCAACCCAAGCTCTGGGGATCCCACAGCTCCCGAGCGAGCGGCCCAGAGGGGTGGATGGGAAGGAGCTATTATTCGAGGTTATGGCCTCCTGGTACGCAAGACATTTTTTTTCAAGTAAAAACAGTAAGAGATGTGCTATTGCAGAAACCTGTTTGTGGTATTTTTTCTGTACAAGTGTTCTGTGCTGCCTCAGAAAGGAAAGAGAGATTATATGGGCAAGTACAGTGAAGGAGGACACTCCACAAGGCTCAGTGCCAGGTGTTTATTGCCCCCCCCCACACGTGGGATTGCTCACATACACAACACACACAGGCATTGGCATCATGGGAGAGAGCAGCACCTCTGGCCTCTGGGTGAAGGACAGGGCGTTCGCTCAGCCCCTGGCCTCAGGGAGCGAGATGGGAGACGAGGATGGCTTCTCTCTCCTGCCTTCACTGGGGTCTGAGGGGGCCCACAAACAAATGCCACCCCTTCCATCTCTCAGCCATTGAGAAGCCACCTTGGTGACATGTTTCGTTCCAATCGTTTGTTATGTGGAGAAGGGATTGGCCTGGTCCCAGCCATTACAGGGGAAGGTGTAAACATTAAGGAAGAGGTATACTTTGGCCACAAAGGGGACGACACCATCAGAAGCATGTGTGGGGTGGGGGGTGGGGGAGGAGCACTGTTACTGAGCTTCTGAGCTATCTAGTCCCTGGCTTAGCAGGAAGAACAGGGAATATGGCCGGGGGGCTTATTGTTTGGCATTGATGATATCCACAAACTCTGGCTTGAGGGAAGCCCCGCCCACGAGGAAGCCATCCACATCAGGCTGGCTGGCCAGCTCCTTGCAGGTTGCTCCAGTCACAGAACCTGGGAAGGGAGAAGAAAGAGGGAATGGTCAGGGATGGGCTAGGAGGTCCGAGTCCACCCCTGTATCAGGTGGGAGCCAAACCCACTTACCTCCATAAATGATACGGGTGCTCTGAGCCACGGCGTCAGAGACGTTGGACTTAAGCCATCCGCGGAGCTTTTCGTGTACTTCCTGGGCCTAGAACAAGAAGCCAGATGAAGTAAGCCTTTTCCTGCCTTTCACTCAAAGGCTAAAAGACCCTGGGCCCCAGTGAAGAGAGGCAGTGTGGTTTCAGGGCAAGAACCCTGAGATCTGAGTCAGAATGCCACAGCTCCAGTACCACCCAGACCCTGGAATGGATGTCCTTGGACAACTCACTCTACTCTGGACTTGGGGATTCCTGTCTTTACTATTATTATTTTTAGGTATTTTATTTTTTTAAAGTAATCTCTACATTGAGCACGGCGCTTGGACTCCCGACCCCAAGATCAAGAGTCACATGCTCTACTTACTGAGCGAGGCAGGAACCCTGGGGGCTCCTGTCTTTAAAATTAGGGGTTGGCTCAGGTGATCTCTGTTGCAGTCCAGTCCTGCGCAGGCAGGTAGGGGAGGAGCAGAGCTCCTGGGCTCGGTTACCTGTTGGGGTGTTGCAGTCTTGCCAGTCCCAATGGCCCATACAGGCTCATAGGCCAGGACAACCTTGCTCCAGTCTTTCACATTATCTGCGGGACAGAGATCACAAATGAAGGGATGAACAGGAAGGAGCTAGCCAGCCCATTGCCCAGGGGATCAAGAACGGTGGTGGCCTAGTGCCCCCTGGTGGCTGTTGGAGGAACTCCAAGTGCATCTATACCATCTGGGCAGGAACAGAAGTGATACGGAGGATGCAAGGGTTCTCACCCTCCCCCTTCCCCCTTCCTGTATCAGCATGGGATGGGGATCAAGTCAGGCTGCAGGGCATCTGACCCCACCCTCTGTGCCTCTAGCCCTGGTCAGGCTCAAAGGTCCCCTTTTCCAGAGTTACCTGCGATGACCTTGGTTTGCTCAAAAACAACCTTCTCAGTGATGCCAGCTTCCCTCTCATCTAGCTTCTCCCCAATGCAGGCAATTACTCCAAGTCCCTCTGCCAGGGCATGGGCCACTTTCTGTCCAATCAGCTGTTGAGGAACAGATTTGGTGACACAACCCCCTTGGAATAAGGCATCTCTTACCTCCCTTCCTGGTTACTAACCTCATCTGACTCCCCAAAGACGTGCCTTCTTTCAGAGTGCCCCAGGACTACCCACGTGGCTCCACAGTCTTTGATCATGCCAGGGCTAAAGGAAGAGAGAAAGCCATGTTTCAGCCAAGAGCCCACCTGTGGCTCTCCCCTCAAAAAGGGAAGTGAGGGGAAGGTCCGCACAGGCCCCCCTCCTGCCTGCATCTCACCTGATCTCCCCAGTGAAGGCCCCGTTCGTCACTTTGTAGCAGTTCTGTGCAGCCACAGCAATCTTGGCGTCCAGCTTCTGCCTGGCAAAGTCGATGTAGGCGGTGGGGGGTGCACAAACCACTTCTGGAGAGTGGCAATGATGGCACAAGGGAATGAGGTCACAAGGAAGCCATTCTCCGGGCTCCATCCAGTGTTCTGGAGGGCCCTCGCCTTCACCTTATTTCTCAGTTCTGCCTTCCAGCCCTTTTCACTCCAGCAAGATCATCTTTGTCCACTTCCCAGCCCAGCTGGGCCATACCCAACTCCTTGAGCCTTCCAGGTGTCCCTGGGAGGCCATGGCCCTCACCCTGCCCTCTGCTCTTTAACAGCTCTGGTTCTGATTTCCCCAGGCTATTCTGGGCCTAGGCACCTCCTAGACTCAGCATTCTCTTGGAGCCAACCACGCCTCCCTTCTAAAATAGTCCATCCCTACCGCCCCCAGGCAAGGATTTTTAGCAAAAGCAAAAAGTGCCAACTCCTGGGGTATTATATTGGGGTCTTTGGGGAATAAACCAGGGCTTCTTTTGATCAGGCCGGTGTTTCTGTGACTGAGGTGAGTGGGAGGGTAAGGGCCGAGGACAGCATTCTTTGCCCGTGGGTGGCAGGGGGTGTGTGTGTGACAAGCTCATCGAGGCCTTGCGTTTTCCCATTTTCAGCCTGCAGAAGGCTGTAGGATCGCTCCTCATTCCCCAATTGCCCATCTTGTTTGGAACCTGCTCAACCCCTTCGTGGGAAGGCAGGCGCCATCCTCGCCAGTGAAGGATAGAGCGGAGAGCTCAGGAGGCCACCGCCGCCCGGGGGTGGGGGGACTCGGCCCGCCCAGCAAGGCGCGGGGAGGAGTCGCGGGCTACGTGCGCCGGCGCACGAAACATACGGACGAGGGGGCAGGTAGCTGGATCCCCGCACGCAGGCTCAGCCTCCTCCCCCACACGGCGGGGCCGTCGCAAGCCTCCAGTGATCGTCCGCAGGGGCTCCGTTCCTATCCCCGGCTCCCGTAGGGTCCCGGGGCCAAGTTCACCCACGGTGACCCCAGAAATCCCCTCCCGCCCCACGATCCGAGGGCACCCTTACATGTAGCCCGCCTTTCCCCCCCTCGACCCACCCCCGGTATTGCGGCTGCCGAGTCAAAGTCCCGACCCCCACCCGCCCTCGCGCCCAGCCCTGCATCCAGGTCCACGCGGACACCCGGCTAAGCGGGCTCGGGAGAGGGCGCTTGCCACGCCCGACCTCCCCCAATCCCGGCCCCCGCCCCCGCCCGGGCAGGGCTTACCGGTGTCGGCCGGCACCTTGGCTGCGTTCAGAGTGGTGATGAGCTCCCCCAGGTTCTTCTTCCGCCCGTTCATCTTCCAGTTCCCCCCGACGAAGAACTTCCTGGAGGGCGCCATGGCGCTGCTGCCGACACCCTGAAGGTCAGAAGCAGCGCGCAGCCGCTGCCACTGGCCGCTTATGTAGAGCGCCGTGAGGCAGAACTCCGCCTCCTCCCCGCCCTCGGCCATGGTTAGTCCGGCCCCGCGCCTGGAAGCCCCGCCCGCCGCCGCCGCCCGGGTCCGCCGCCCGCCGCCGCTGTTGCAAGGCTGGGATGTGACTCCTCCCCCCTCATTGTAGTAACGTTCCAGGGGCGTCCGGGGGCTCGGGCGCTTCGACCCCGCCGCCTGGCTTTCCGGGGGAGGCGAGAACCCACCCTCGGGGGAGCCCCACTTCACTGACTACAGCCCCCCAGGGGCCAGAGGTGCTTCCAAGAGGAGCTTGGACTCCCGACTGCTTGGCCTGAGATCGCATTGCTGGCCCGGACCGAGGGAGCTCTGAGGGGGCAGGTCTCCAACTCTGAGAAAAGGACTTCTTCCCTCCGCTAACCCCCCCGTCGGAGTAGCTGCATCCCTGATTGCTGAGCAGGCACCTTTGACCTATGGGGGGAGGGAGGGCAGTCCCACAGCTACGCGGCCAGTAGGAGGGTTCAGAGGGGGAGGGGCGGCCCTTGGCACTTGGGACCCCCTCTGGTGTGACTGCCGGAGGGACGGCAGAGTTCTTCACCCCCATCTTTGCTCTGTGTCATCCCACTTCACTGCCCCTGATCTGACAGTATCCAACCCCTAGCTTTCTTGCACTGCCCCAGTGCTTGCTCCCCCGCCCCCATCTCACAGCCCATTTCCAAAGAGCTCTAGAAATAGTGAAAGTAGAGAACGGCCCAGGGAGGGGGCAGAGGCAGCTCTCCTGCTGGCCCCAGACAAGATCGGTCTCCCTCCACGTACCAAACAGGACACAACTTAGCCATTGTACTTTTTATTCACATCGTGTATTTTGGCATTTTCCAGAGAAGGGCAGGGAAGAGACAGGGTTGGGGAAAGACAGGCTGGAGGGCGACGGGGATCCCCATTTCCCTCACAGCCCTCCTTGCCTGACCACACAGGGAGCAAACACAAAGAGGGAGGGGAGGCACGGACGCCCCCTCCCCGTGGAAGAGGCTGCACAAAGCTACACCCAGGCGCACACACAAACAAGCCCCCCTCCACATCAGGGGCCGGCAGGGTTACACAGAGAAGCAGAGCACTGTGGCTTCAAGGGGCGGGGAAAGCAACAAAGTCTCCTCACGACAGGTGGCCGGCCCCTGCCATCCCCATCCTGCTCTATCCCCAAAGTCTCTCCAGTGTTCCCAGCTTTGCTTGGCCATTCTCCTGTGGCCTCGAGCTTCTTCCCTGCTGCTGAAGACAAAAAGAAAAAGGGCACAGAGC